GGTTTGCAAATGTGACCTTATCAACTGCCTGCATGATTAGTTCTGTTGCTGTCAGTGGTCAGCCCTCCCAAGGACCAGCGATTCCTCTAAAATGAGCCTGAGTTTTCAATGCTTCCTATGTATCTCCCAAAATAATGAAAGCAACCGATCAGGACTGATGGAGTAGGCTATGATTCAAGAAAATGTTTCCACATGTGGAAAGTGGAGCTTTGATTCTCAATTTGCTATTTTTGCTGTTCCCCTTTCATCATTTTGTTATGGCAATGTATGTTTTCAAAGGGCGATATCCTTTGTAATATTTAGTGTCTGCACATGGCTTGGGCCTGGGGTCTTCTCTGATGATCTGCAGCACGTGCTGTGCTTAAAGGACAAAAAGGCTTGCTTAGAAGGGAACAATTAGCTCATGTGTTGGATTTCTTTGCCAAGCCAGCATTTGTTTGTTTTAATGTTTTCAGCCACTCATTAAGTGCCTGGCAGTAAAGGATGATGTGTTGTATCTGTACCTGTGTGCTTGAATTTCATGTACCCTGTCTTTTGCAGCAGTGTTTTTTTATATTGACATGGAATCATCTTTGCAGTAGGAACAAAGGCAAAACTCTTATTCTTGGATTTTTTAATTCTTCCTTGATATAGGAACTAGCTCAGTTTTTACTTGGTTCATTAAGTATTTTTTTAATCTGATAAGGGGATGTTTTCCTCCTCCTGGAAGGCACTTTGTCTGCTCCAATGAGAAAATAATACTTCATTTGGAGATTTAGTATTAGCCTCTAGTTACTACATTGGCCACTGCACAGTTTGGGTTTGTCCCACCCAGTGTTGGCTAATCCATTGCCAAAGCAATGCAGAATTCAACTTTTAGCTCTTGATTAACATCCAATTGCCTTTAGACAGTCAAGGCTTCTCAAGTTCTGCTTTGGTGGAACTCAGGGAGAGTAATCCCATAGGAAGAGGCATAGCCAGTTTTTTATTTAAATTGTATGTTTGGTTGGGATCTCTTGAGTGGAGCTAATGAGGATGGCAGGGAATCTAATTGTTCTACCATGGCCTTGAAAAAATGATTATTTAATTGGATGGAGATTTTATTTACAGCCTCAAAATGTTCCATTCTTCACAAATGAGTGTCTTTTCAAAATGTCATCATTTGAGAGACAAGTGTTCACGTGTTCTAACTTCAAGAAAACTATACATGCATGTCTTTGGTAATTTATGGAGTATTTTCAAGGCTCAGAGGTTTTAGAGGCTGGGAAAGCATCTCAGCAGCTACAATGTAGTCATTGGTTCTGGGCCTTCATCAGCTACGGAAGTGATGGTTTATTTGGAGTAGTCGGTTTCACTAAAGCCATTTGGGAGAAGATGGCTAGCAGCCAAGTCAAGCATCCTAAATTCTAAAGCTTTTACGTTGAATCCAGGTATGGCATATTCCACTTCTTCTGCCTCAAGTTCTCTATTAATTAAATGAAGATTTGTTCATTCATTCATTCATTCATTCATTTGTTCATGTGTTTTTGTTTATTCATCTGACAAATCATTAATGAACACCTGCAATGTGCCAGTTGGCATACTAGGTGTCTGGAAATGGGATAGTGAACAAAAGAAAAGTGCATATTCTTATAAAGGTTGCATTCAGTACAGATCTGACAATCGCTGATCACTCAACAGTGTTCATACAAGAATTTTTAAACTCAAATAATGACAAAATGGGACGTCAAAGCTTAGAGGACAAGGTGCCTGATGGCCTAAGAAGAAATAACAGGGAAAGCTTCCCTTCTCTGATATGTCAGAGAAGACTTCCTGAGGGCGTCATGTTTGAGCAGAGACCTTAAAGACAAGTGGCCATTCACCAGGAGGAGCAGGTGAGACAAAGATGGGTGAGAATAACACTATGTACCAACCCAGAGTTGCTGCACATGTGGGAAGAGAGCACTGAACTTCTTAGGCCTAACAGTCACACATCCTTATTTAACACGTGTAATAATAGTTTTAAATTATTTGTACAGTAACTTTGACCATGCTACTTGACCACCGGACACTCTACTAAGCGATGTTCCCCTCCCCCACCCCTGGACCTTTTGAAAGCCAGCTGTCCTGTTTTGGAAGCCACCCCATCCAGCCTCAGATGGAAATTTTCTTCGTTCTCAAGGGTATGAGCTCATCACCACACCAGATGGGTTTCCAATGAATGATTATGGTGCAATCTGATTATTTTCATGTCATGCTAATTCCCTTTGAAAGATGGAAACAGGATATGGGCTCTCTTTATTATCTTTGTAAGTTAGAGGAAAATATCCCAGTTATGGCCACATCCCCTGAAGATTGAGAAAAAAAAATCAAGTTAAAACTAAGTGGCAATTCTGGTATAAGAGTCCACTGACAGTAACATTTTACTGTGCACAATCAATCCACTTTTATAATATGATACACCGTTAAAGTAACTTTAGACTCTGCAGCAGATAACTAGGAACTCTCAGTGACTTAGTGAGATAGAAATTTATTTCTCATACTAATAAACATAAACATACTCTGGTTGAAACTTCCACAGTTTCGTTCAGTGTCATATTGTGATTCTGTCCTCCTCCAGGGTCTCAGTGTCAGTTAATTTAGCTGGCAAAGGAAAGCAGAGAATGGAAGAGTGTCAGTGAGAGACTTCTATGAGTCAGTCCTAGAAGTGGGGCTCATCTCTTCTACGCACTTCTCATTGGCCAGAACTCAAGTCACATGACTACATCCAACCTCCAGATACAAGTGGGTAGTCAGCTGGTTAACTTATCCCAGGGAGTCAACTTTGCCTGAGGTTAAGGGCATGTGCCCCAGAGTCAGTGAATTAGACATACAGTAATTCCTTTTTATCCACGGGAGATATATTCTAAGACCCCTAGTGGATGACTGGAACATCCAAGAGTTCTGAAAACTTTATGATTTTTCATGCCTATGCAAAACCTCTGATGGATTTTAATTTACAAATTAGGCACAGTACAAGATTTAAGACAATAACAATAAAATAGAGCAATTATGACAATATACTGTAATAAAAGTTATGTGAAGGTAATGTCTCTCTCAAAAGGTAGTACTTTCACCTTCTCACTTAAAGGAACCATTTTATGACTTCTCCTTAGCATATCCAAATTGCTAGCACCACTCCTCTTGCACTTTAAGTTCATTATTAAATAAAATAAAGGTTACTTAAACACAAGCACTGTACCAGGACAGTGACTAATGGGCAGGTAGTGTATACAGCATAGATACGCTGGAAAAAAGGTGATTAAGGTCCAAGAGGGAGGGAGGGAGATGGTGAAAGATTTCATAACACTACTCAGAACAGTGCACATTTTAAAACTTATGAATTTCTTATTTCTGGAATTTTCCACTTCATAGTTTGGGATCATGGTTGACTATAGGTAACTAAATCAGGAAAAGCAAAACTAGGGATCAGCGCTGACTAACATAAGTCCCAATTCCAGAAGGTGGTTCTAAGGACACATCACTCACCCTTTAAAGCTCAGATCCTCTCATCTGTAAAATGGAAACAGCAACACTATTTACTACAGGGTGGTACCCTTAGAATTGAATGTGATGTTGTGTGTCCAGTGCTCAGACCAAGACTGATAGGCAACACACATTTATTGATTGTAAGTCATAGTTATCCATTTACTCATTTGCTACAAAATAAAAGCAAATTAAAAGAACCTGGTCCATTCTTATCATCTCATCTGAGAAATGATGAGCGGGGATATAAATAATTCTTAAGTACCAAAACCAAACAAACTTCAGTCTCCAAAACAAGTATAGGCTGATTGCTATCACTATCAGAGCTATAGTGAGCCACTTTGAAGTTTCCAGGGGACGTTCAAAAATGTTTTTTGACCCACAATTATGCCAGAAAATAGGCTCAACCAAAGAGACTAGGCAGGCAATTTTGGTACCTACAGTAGTAGAGGCCTGCCGGGGACTCAGCGGAATGAAGGTCACCAACGTTCCTAGAAGTCCAAAGAGCCCTCTGTTCTCTCCCTGCTTCTGCCTGGATCCAAGTGTGGGGGCTGCCTCTCCCACACCACGCAGCTTTGTTTGTGCTTCCCCAGGCCAGAGTTTTGTTTTCGATTTGCCTGTTCTAGGGCAGCTGCTGTGACTTTTCCATGAATGTACTGTTATTTACAGGCTGGGCCAAGTAACCTACAGTCTGCACTCTCTCTCTCGGCCAAATAAAGAGTGCAGGACACCCTGAGCATTTTCTGAAAAAGGGGAAGTGCTTGTTGAAACTCAGCCCTGGGAGGCAAATTGCAGTTGACGCCATGTTTCAGGGCTCTGCTCCAGCAATGGCAGTGGAAGGGCATGAATTGCCAGTTCTGGCTGTGTGCTCGGGGGTGGGAATCAAGGGCACGGTGGAAGTTGGCATGGCCTCAGTCTATGTCTATGTTATATTTAGTCGGCCTCCATGATCACGAAGCGCACGCAGGATAAACCCTTGGAACAATTAACTCATCTCTTGTAATACAAGCCATTGTCTGAAATGTCTGTTTCAAGCAAGTCTGAAGAATATTCAGCATATCACCTGATGATATCAAATCAAAAAAAAATATGTGTTCAAATGTGGATAGACAGTTTCTGGTTCTCATTGTTGGGAGAAGAGAGAATCCTTATGAGAAGTGATTCTCACCAGAGAGTGCTCATTGCTGAGAATCCTGCCAATGCAGTCCAGTAAGATTCCTGTACTTAAGCCACTTCATAGAATAACAGAGTGCTGTGGAGTCCCGTGATCTTGGTCCAGTGTGATCTCTTCTACTGGGGATAGAGCGCATCCATCCAATGAAACAACTTGTCCAGACTGGTTAAAACTGCAAAAAGTTCAAACAAAACAAAAAATAATAGTATTTATTTAGTTATGTTAGGGTGCTCTATAGATACACAATAATTTTCCCACTGATCTTATGAGGGAGCTACTTTGACTAATTGCCCCATTCCACAGGTCATAAAATAAAGGTTTGTTCATAAGACCCTAAAGCACACAGCTAGTAAGTGGCCATCAGAGGCCATATGGAGCCAGCTCTGAATCACTGTGTTCAGTAACTATGGGAAAGTTATATCCATAATTTTATCCATAAAGTTAATTCCACTGTCTTTCCTATTTCTATTCCTCTTCCCTTCCCTTCATTTCCCTTTTGTCTAATCCACTGAGCTTCAATTCTTTCCCTTCCCTCCCCACACCTTGTGGTGTGTTAGCATTCACATATCAGAGAGAACATTCAATCTTTGGTTATTTTGGATTGGCTTATTTCACTTAGCATGATAGTCTCCAGATCAATTCACTTATCAACAAATGTCATAAACTTATTCTTCTTTATAGCTGAGTAATATTCCCCATTGTGTATACATACCACATTTCTTTATCAATTTATCACAAGGAGCTTTCAGTCACTGGCTCATGACCACACAGCTAATGAGTGATGGAGCCAGGATTTAAAGCCAATCCTTTTCATTTGAGAGCCAGTGTTCAAAATTGTAAGTCAATGGCCCATTCTGGAGGATGAATAGGTACAATCTGGTATAATCTGCCACTGTATTGTTATTTCCATAGAAATAGCACATCTCTTTCTCACATCTCTCTTTCCTTCAGCATAACTTGCTCACCATTTCTACAGCATGTTCATCGTAACTTTGAATATCCCTGCCTCATTTCTTTGTTGTTTTAATCAATCGTCAAGGATTTCTTGATTAGGGCAAGGTGGGGTGGTAGTCATGCCTCTGGGCTGAATCTCAGGTTTAGCATCTTTAAATAATGTGATAATTATCTTGCAATTTCACATCAGTTTCCTTCATTGCAAAATGGGAATAATAAGACCTCAATATTTTATAGTAACAAATGCATGGAAAGCTTTTAGCATCTTTCTGCTAGACATTAAGCATTCCATAGAAGTTAGCCACTGCTGTGGTTAATATTACTGTTTTACATTAATATCACTGTTTTACATTGATATAGGATATAAGGGCAGGGAGAGGATCCAAATAGGCAAAACTGTGCAAGCAGAGGGAAGCAAAAAATGCTGGGCTCAGAGTTTCCATACACAACCATCTTTCTAAGTGGCTTGCAGAAACAGACAGGGAGAATCTTGGGGGCCAGAAAGATACAGGACACAAGAAGGAATGAATGCAACAGGGAATTGAAGGCAGAAAGAGGCTAGCAATTTGCTCGACCCTATGAATTAATACTGCAGGCAGAAATAACACCAAGGATTCCTGGTTCTAAATCTTAGAGATCCTGAGCTTTCCCCGGTGAGGCACGATTTACACTTTGAGCTTTTTCCTTGGACTTTGCTTATGCCAAAATATTAACCAAAAAAGAGGGGTAGAATTCATAAACACAGAGAGGCAGCATGGCTTGTCAAAGGTATCTGCGTATTTGGTTCTTCTTTGGGCTTTAAGACAGACACCGCCTGCCCACACACATCTGTACCAAGTCAGAGCCATCCACCGGAGAGAGTGTTGGCCTTGTTCTCAATCAACTCTTTGGGTTACCCAGGCATTGCAGGGACTTCTGACTCCTTTCACAACTTTCTAAGCCAGTGACTTAACAAGAATGTTCTGGACAAGCAGAGGCTCCGTTCTCAGGCCTTGAGGAAGTGCCCGGGGCAGGGGCTGGACGGAGGATCAGAACTGAACGTGGAACTCATTGTGAATCTGTTTTCAAAAATGCCCAAAATCTCTGCTGTCTGCCCCTCCTAGACATTCGCTAAAAGCCAACGGTTGGGAATAGCGTGTGTGTTTTGTTTGTACATCCAAACTCCTGCTGTTCTACAAAATTGCAATACAAAATTGTAATACTGCCGAAAAATTCAAGTCAATTCATTTGAATCTTAAAACTTACTGCTAAATCTCCTAGTCAGTTAATGAGTTTCTTTGCCACTGAGAGAAAATTACACAACCATACATCCACACTTATTCTCTTTTTCCATCATGGCCTACTGGAGATGGACTTGGGTGACACTGGAATCGAGCCAAGTGTCTTAATCCCAAATCCACGATTTACCTGCTGCATGAATTTAGCAAGCAAGTTGTCCTGAGCCTCAACATGCCTTCTGTAAAATGGGGTCAAAATTAATATCATATGGGATTGTTTTGAGGTTGAGGCAGCCTATGTAAAGCACTCAACACAAGATGTTTAGTAACTGGCCATTGTTTCCTTATTAATCCTTTATGCATCATTTAAGCTCTCCTGGGAATCCAGCATTCCCCCCAGGAGGCCCTTTGCAACAACGTAAGAGATGAATTTGAAAGCGGTTAAAATAAGAACCACGTGAATACTGTGAACCAAGAATGAGAGAGCCCAGAAAACACAGGAGTGTTCATGCACACTGCTTTAAATGTGACACTAATGTCGTGCTCCCAGCACTGACTGATAACCAGCCTCCTCCTCCCTCCCCTAGTTTGTCTGGAAGGCTGGGTATCTCCGCATATGGAAGGAGGTTTCTCTGTAAGGTCTGTAATATGCTTGAAATTCCAAAACAAAGTAGACCCCGGCAGGGCACTGGCTCCGCGTTGGCAAATAAGCCTGCCATCAGGCGCCACCTCGGGTATTACAGTGTGCTTTGAATTAGGGAAGGAGCTGCAGCCTTTCCTAAGCAAAAGGCCTGTGGGCCTATATATCAGCTCCTCTGCAGAACAGAGTTGTCTTGAGCCAGAGGAGCCTTCTTCACCCTGCTGCATCTGGAACCTCAGCAGCCTCCAAATCCTCCCTTGGCATTTATATTTCAGTATCTTAAGTAAGAAATAGAATGGATCACTCATCACCTGGGCATTTAAGGGCAGGATTATTAAAAACAGGTTGGATAACAACGACTTTACACAATTGAATATGATGTATGCATTGTTAAGATCTTGTGACGTTTGAAAAATGGGTCCTGTCTAAGAAAGAAAATTGTGTTTGTGGCTAAAAGAATTGAATTCAATGTGCTCTATTACAAGAAAGTTCAAATTGCTTTTAATAACAATGTGCTGACTATTTCTAGCCTCCTACAGCCTAACGCATCACAGGTGAAACAAAGATGTCAGGTTGGTGTCAAGCCCCAGCCTGTGCGTGGACACTGTGAAAGTGTTGGGGGCCGGCTTTGGGACCCAGAGCTGTGCATCTTTGATAAGGCCCAGGTGCCCCCTTGGCAGAGTTCTGCCAATGACCCCCAACAACTCACAAAGGCAGCCAACAGCAGTACGGGGGAAATGCCATCACCATGTACTGAGGAACCTGAGTCTGGGGGACCTGATGGCGCTGTGGCCCAGCTTCTCCTCTTGACTCCCCGCCCCAGTACTTGGTTAGCTGAAGCCACTGAACACAATGGGAAAGGCTGAGTAGAAGGGGATTCCCCTTTTATTTCAGTGCAAGCACAACCTCCCAAATCGAAGACAAGCAACCAAGCCTGAGCAGAGAATTGAAAACTACACATAGTTTCAATGGTTTCTTCTCTGATGTCCTTGCACCGGGCTGGACCATTCCCATTGCTTCTGCAGTGTTTTGTAAAGGACAAATAAGGACTGGCCGCTGCCCTGCAGTCTTTCTAAAATGAACTTCTGGTGTGATTTGAATTGTGCTGAGTTCTTGAACTTTCAAAAGGGTAGACATATTGGATAGGGCATGGGTGATGCCAAGATGCAGTTTTATCCGTTCCGTGGGTGAACCATACCATCGCTCCTTTTAGAATGAAGAGCAATGTAGGGAACATACAAGAAAATTTCCCCAAGTTAACAGTAGATGGGAACCAAAAGTGGGACACGAAACCACTCATAGGAAGTATTCCGGTCTCTATGGAAGAGCCTGCAAGGCAAACGGCATCATGCAAGCAAGGACCTTGTAGCACTTCCCATGTCCCAAGGGTGAAGCTGTAAGTGTAATCTAATCTCATCACAGCCTTGTCACCTTTTCATCTTACAGCTGAGGACATCCACACCTTAAAGTTCATAGGATTGGGGCTGGGGATTTCGCTCAGTGGCAACACTTACCTAATGTGCGAGGCCTTATGATTTATCCCTTGCACTGTGTAACATAACCTGCAACCATCTCATAAGAAGCGACAGAGCCAGGTTAAAACCACTGCAGCTGCTTCTAGAATTCATGCTCTTTGTTGCTACACTGAAACAGCAGTTATTTCTGGGTAGTGGAGCTACAAGTGTTTTTAAACTTCTTTTCACTTTTCTGTGCCATCCATTGTTCTTTTACAACAAGCCTATTTTACTTGAAAAATCAGGAAACAGAAAAGGGAGGGAAATTCACAATGTAAAAACATCACACTTGCCGGGTACGGTGGCACATACCTGTAATCTCAGTGGCTCAGGAGGCTGAGGCAGGAGGATGGAAAGTTCAAAGCCATCCTCAGCAATAGTGAGGCACTAAATAACTCAGTGAGACCCTGTCTCTAAATAAAATACAAAACAGGGCTGGAGATGTGGCTCAGTGGTCGAGTGCCCCTGAGTTCAATCCCCAGTACCCCCCCACACCCCAAAAAAAATCACACTTTGCTTTATCTTGGAGATATTGAATTAACCAGATTTGCCTAGCTCTGAAACAAGCCACTTCTTCAGATGGATTTCTTTTTTTTTTTATTTTTATTTTTAGTTTTTTGGCGGACACAGCATCCTTGTTTATGTGGTGCTGAGGATCGAACCTGGGCCGCACACATGACAGGTGAGCGTGCTACCACTTGAGCCACATCCCCAGCCCAGATGGATTTCTTAAAGAACAAGTTAAGAACTCTAAAATGGAGGAAAGCAAAGAACAGATACTCACATCTGCCACTTCCCCATAAAATTTGAGATCCTAAAACCTGAGCATCCTTAATGCTCTTCTAAT